ACCACTTCCTCTGGAAGTTCATTCCACACATGACAACTCTCCATGTAAAAAAAAAATTTCCCCTCATGTCTTTTTTAAAATCTTTCTCCTTTCACCTTAAAAATATGCCCCTAGTCTTGAAATCCCCCACCCTAGGGAAAAGACACCTGCCAATCACCTTATCTATACCCCTTATGATTTTATAAACTTCTATAATGTCGCTACTTAACCTCTTACGCTCCAGTGAAAAAAATCCCAGCCTATCCAGTCTCTCCTGATAACTCAAACTCTCCATTTCCGGCAACGTCCTGGTAAATCTCTTCTGAACCCTCTCCAGCTTGATTATATCCTTCCTAGAACAAGGCAACCAGAGCTGCACACTGTACTCTTGCACTGTGGAGCAGGCTTGAGGGACAAAATAGCCTACTACCGCTCCTATTTCTTATGTTCTGTCGATAAAGAACAATTGCAGGCTTATGGAGAAAGGGGACTGGAGTTGGCTGAACTGCTCTTGCAGAGACCTGGCACTGACCTGATGTGCCAAATGGTCTCTCCCTGTGCAGTTGTAAGCATTCTATAATTTTATGGATTGTTCCAAGTTTTGTCTCATTAATTCCACAGGCAAGTTTAACAGTCACGATATTGGGGGAGGTTGTGGGGTCTATAACAACCAGAAAAGTCATCAGAAGATCACTTTGTGGCATAGACCCTGGAAATCAATAAATCAATGGAGCGTAGAAAGTAATGAGTGCTGAATAGAGGAGTTAAAGGGGTTGGTGCTATTGGGGGTGGCTACTGACTGGAATGTTCAAGTCTCAATGCTTCAACTCAGAAAAACTAAATGCAAAGTGCTCAGATTTGCTAATGATACTGAGGAAGACACCAGGAAATCTGCCAGAACTAGAAATCCAAGAGACTGGGAAGAAATAGGCATTGAAGGGTATTAGTATTAGTAAGAAGGTTGCTTTAGGGTAATTAATGGGACTGAAAGTTGATAAGTCCCCAGGACCTGACATTCTGAAGATATTCTACCAGGAAGAGGCAGCTGTGAAGATGGTGGACACATTGGTAATAATCCTCCAAAATTCGACAGATTCTGAAATGGTTCCTGCAGATTAGGTTCTAATCCTCAACCTGTGCTGTGGTGTCTGATCTTAGCTGAGGCAATGGAAGGTTCACTGTGTGCTCTTGAACTATAAAAAGTGCAAGAGAAAGTAACCAAAATGAATACTACTGATTGCTATCTAATTATCCCTGTTGGAAAGTCATATGTATGGATGCTGAGTAAGGGCAAAAGATACACTTCAGTTTTTAACAATATTCCCAGTATTTTGACCATACCCCAATTTTAAAACTCTCACTGTTGTCTTCAAATTCCTGCATGGGTCTCTCCCAATGTGGATTGATGTGCAATCATGTTCTTCATGGTCTGCCAAAGTCATGAAACCTCTATCATGAGGCACACAAACTGGAAGTGGCCATTTTACCAGTGCTTAATAAAGAAACTGTAAAGACCAGGTTACTGCCTTTTGAATACAGGACATGGTGTCAGAAGTGGAGTTGGGATTGAATGTTGAAGAGCTGTAAAAACAAAATTCACAGCCAGTGGTAGAAACACACAGGAATATTTAGAGACATGAAAGCTGCTATAAGCAATGGAGAGAAGCCAAATTAAAAACCACCGAAAAACAGGTCAAAGTTGAAACACTGGGTGAGAAACAATGGCTGCACCATTTCCCCTTCGAGCTTCAGTCAGTATGAAAGGTAATTATTTAAATAGTGCCTGTTTTTATCAGATGCGCTGGTAACATTTCTGAATAGTGGCACATCTGTTTAACAAGCCAGAGCAGTGAGGAGTAGCTACACTCCTATCACTGCTGGGAAGAGACTGTTTCAAAGTGCATTTCACCCTAAATATCTCTGAAGAAAAAAGAAACAAACTGAAGAAATTTTTAAAACGTTGACAGTACTCTTTGAGTACTCTTTGAATCCCAAGTGAATGTAACTTATGAACAGCACATGTTCACTATTATGGCCCAAGGTGAAGGAATCCATTGATCAGTGTGATTTCATTAATTCAGCTTGTTGAATCCTGTGAATTTACACAATTAAAAGACAGGCTAATTAAAGAAAGGATGTATTAGATATAAGGGATCATGCAGTGAGTGTACATCGACTGAGAGAGGAGAAACACACTCTCCGGAAAGCAACTGACATGAGGACAGGTGCTGAGGTTGAACATCAGCAATATTCATGGCAGAAAAGACCAATCTGATAGATACTTCAGATCCATACAGAAAAACAATCATAGTTAAAAGGCAGGATGCAAATATTGCAGAAGACATCATACAAAGGAGAAGAAGACACGTCAAGTGTGAGGAAAGCAGTGTTCTCGCTGTAAGAAGCTGAATCATTTCACTCACAAATGCATGGCTACAAGGACGTGTAACAATTAAATACAGATGACCTCAGGCGAATATCAGCTGAAGAATCTAATGAACTACACCATACAACAAGTCAGTTCAGTCAGGTTAACAGGGCATTTGGAAAGGCAAGGACTGATTAGGGATAGTCGACATGGCTTTGTGCTTGAGAAATCATATCTCACTAACTTGATTGAGTTTTTTGAAGAGGTGACAAAGAACGCAGACGAAGGCAGAGACATAGACATTGTCTATATGGACCTCTGCAAGGTACTCAACAAGGTTCTGCATGGTAGATTGGTTAGCTAGAATAGATCAAATGGAATCCAGGGAGGGCTAGCCAATTGGATACAAAATTGGCTTAAAGGAAAGAGGCAGACGGTGGGGGTACAGGGTTGTTTTTTGGGCTGGAGGCCTGTGACCAATGGTGTGCCACAAGGATCAGGGCTGGGTCCACTGTTTTTTGTCATTTACATAAATGATTTGGATATGAATATAAGAGGTATGGTTAGTAAGTTTGTAGACGACATCAAAATTGATGGTGTAGTGGACAGTGAAGAAGGTTACCTCAGAGTACAACTGGACCTTGATCAGTTAGGCTAATGGGCTGACGAGTGGCATATGGAGTTTAATTTAGATAAATGTGAGGTACTGCATTTTGGAAAGGCAAATCAGGGCAGGACTTATACACTTAACGGCAAGGTCCTGGGGACTGTTGCTGAATAAAGAGACCCAGTGGTGCAGGTGCATTGTTCCTTGAAAGTAGAGTCACAGGTAGACAGGGTGGTGAAGAAGGCACAAAAAAAGGAGTTGCTGGAAAAGCTCAGCAGATCTGACTGCATCTGTGAAGAAAAATTCAGAGTTGACGTTTCGGGTCCAGTGACTCTGAGAAAGGGTCACTGGACCCGAAATGTCAACTCTGAATTTTTCTTCACAGATGCTGCCAGACCTGCTGAGCTTTTCCTGCAATTTCTGCTTTTGTTCCTAATTTACAGCATCCGCAGTTCTTTGGTTTTTATTTAGTGGTAAGGAAGGCATTTGGCACACTTGCTTTCGTTAGTGAGTGCATTGAGTATATGAGTTGAAATGCCATGTTGAACTGTACAGGACATTGGTTAGGCTACTTTTGTCATACTGCATTCAATTCTGGTGTCCCTGCTATAGGAAATATGTTGTGAAACTTGAAAGGGTTCAGAATAGATTTACAAGGATGTTGCCGGGATTAGACGGTTTGAGCTACAGGGTGCAGCTGAATAGGCTGGGGCTATTTTCCCTGAAGCGCGGAGGCTGAGGGGTGACCTTATCGAAGTTTATAAAATCACGAGCGGCATGGATATGGTGATTAGCCAAGGTCTTTTTCCCGGGATAGGGGAGTTTAAAACTAGAGGGCATAAGTTTAAGGTGAGAGGGGAAAGATTTAAAACGGACCTGAAGGGCAACTATTTCACGCAGAGGGTGGCGCATTAATGGGACAGTCTGCCAGAGGAGGTGGTGGATGCTGGTAGAATTAGAACATTTGAAACATATCTAGATGGGTACATGAATGAGAAGGCTTTAGAGGGATATGGGCCAAATGCTGGCAAATGGGACTAGATCAGTTTAGGATATCTGGTCAGTGCACAAAAGTTGGACCAAAGGGTCTTTTTCTGTGCTAGATAACTCTATGATACTTGCATTGTAACTGCTGTAATGAGGATCACAGAGAGAAATACATGTCAACATTAATCACATCATGACCTTTACAGAGCTGTATAATGTGGCTGAACATAGCAATCCAAAAATACAGCACTCAGAAGTGAGACTGAGGCTATATGTTGGCACCATACTCATGCCAAGGGATGAGGGTAACTCGGTGTACCAATGCAATGACAGGAATGAGGATCTGGAGTTCCAGATCATGGACAGCAAGCAAAAGTCACTCACCTCAGCCAGGGCAAGACTAAAGTTTGGACTACTGTATGCCAAAAGAGATTTGTGCCTAGATGCCTTCAATGGTTAATGTGGGTAATGAGATCCCTTCAGAGCTTTGTGTCCTTTGGGTCAATATATTCTCTCAGCTCTCCAGGTTGTTTCACTGATACCATGCTGCTAATCTATTCAATAGGAGTTGTCACTTCTGTAATTACCCACATCTTTCCCAGCTCTTCTGTTTCAGGCTAGCCCTTAAACTTCCCTCAGCAGATTCTGAATTGGTCTTGCATTCTCATCAGCTTCAAGATGATATTCTCCTGGAAGACACCCTAACCATGTAAGTGCACTTTCTATACCTCTAGCATCTGCATGTGGTCAATCGTTTAGTATCTGGCGACACGTTGCAAATCTCTTTTGGCACATTGAGTCCAAGTGAAGTTGAGTGAAAGCAGCAGCTTTCTAACTACAACACAGTGTGGAGCTGGAGGAACACAGCAGGCCATACAGCATCAGAGGAGCAGGAAAGTTGACGTTTTGGATTGGGACCCTTCATCAGAAACGTCAATTTTCCTGCTCCTCTGATGCTGCCTGGCCTGCTGTGTTCCTCCAGCTCCACACTGTGTTGTCTCTGACTCCAGCATCTGCAGTTCTTGCTATCTCCAAGCTTTCTAACTACACGCTGGCTACCTTTCAGGAGATACAGGTGGCTCCAAATGCTGTTTGGCATTTCCACTGCTCCAATGGGATATCAACCCAGACAACATGTTGGACATCTTTCCCAAGTGGAAGTTGTAGAGGATGATCCACTGGATTACGGATGTGGAGACACAATGGCAAAAATTATTGCTGACCATAATCAAAATCTAGTGCAACTACGAAACAGCTCAGCAGATGATCCTGAAATTAAAAAAGACAAAATTGCAATGAGAAGACACAAAGTCAAGCTCATAGGCCATGTACTAACAGCAAAATGTCTTTGACCAGATTCTGAACTGAACTGCAGCAGTGATCTACTGGGATAGAAGCAGTGCGACTATTTGTTGGACTTGTCAATTATTTGGCAAAATTCTTGCCTGTTTTGTTGTCGGATCATGAATCATTGCAGCAAATCATGGCTAAGGGCATACAGTGATATTGAGGTACGGTATAAGAAGGATGCTATGACAGTCAGAAAATTTCCAGACCCAACAAGAAGCAGCAAGTTGGGTTGTCCTAGAAGTCATTAAACCCAGCAGTGAATATAACAGACAAGTGCCTTGATCAAATCAAGTGAATACCTAACAAGATGCAGCTCTCCATGTGTTGCACAATGTTATGATGCCTGGATGGCCTGAAAACATCAAGGCCACATCTAGTACTACAAGAGGGTATTGGGCTTACAGACATGAATTGACAGACCAGGATGACGTATTGTTGAAAGGCAATAAAGTTGATGGGAGGCACTGGTGTGATGGCCATGTTGCTTGATCAGTAATCCCAGGCTAATGTTCTGGGGACATGGGTTCAAATAGTGACACTTGGCAAATAGTGACAATAAGAATTTGGAACTGAAGGATAGCCTATTGGTGAGCATGTAACCACAATCAATTGTAATTTTAAAAGAAAACATCTGTTTCACAAAGTCACCAGTGAAAGAATTCTGCTCTCCTTACCTAGTCTGGCCCTCCATGTAACTCCAGACCCACAGCAATGTGATTGATTCTTAACTGCTCTCTGGTCAATATATGCTGGCTGCTATGTCTATAATTGATGATCACTCCCGTGAACTATCTTGGAATATTTCACTACATTAAAGGTGACACATAAGCTGATGTTTTTGTACATCTCATAAAAGGATGGTTTGTGAATGAGCCACCGGGAGTATGTGTGATCCTATTTTTGTTTTCATGGATTAAACATTGTGAAATTTATGTTGACGATATTCATTTTGCTGAGCACCAGAATCGTGTGGCAAAACAATGTTCCGCATGGTTCCGTGGGCCAGTTTTCTGTCACATCAGAATGTTTTGCATCTAAAATAGCCACGTCATCCTGGAAAAGATTTCCCAATATTAAAGGTGCATCTTGATGTATGTAGAAAGTTTGCCCGTCAAAGATTAACACAAAGAAAAACAAAGAGCACAGCCTTTTGGTGAGCTGGCCACCCTGTTTTGATAGGGTGACCCATCGAGCGTGGAAAACTATGTGTGAACATCCTAACCTGTGTGTTTATATTTTATCACACCACAAACTATGGCCAGCACATGAGTTCAGAGTTTTCTTTTTAAATGCATTATCAGCATTAAAGGGCCATCATCATCCTGTCACTCTCACCTCTTAATGCAAAGATTGTGTGTTCAAGTATGATCCCAGGGGTTCCTTTAGCATCGTGCTCAGTGGGTGCTGCACTGTTGGAGATGCTGTCATTTAGATTAAACATTACACTGAGGTTTCATCTGCCTCTCAATAGTTATAAAAAATACTATGCCACCAGTTCTAAAAAAAAGCCAAAAAAGTTCTCCAGTTGAATATCCCCTAACGAAGAGACAACGATCTCAGCACAGTTTCTGGGACCTTGATGTGTGCAAATTGGCTCTAATTTCCTACATTAAAACAGTCGCTATATATTGAACATTTGGTTGTAAAGCTCATTACAATATCCTGAGGTTATGAAAGATACTATATAAACACAAGCTTTTTTTTGAGTATAAGTAAACTTTTATTTTGTTAAGATTTTTGCATTGAATTAGAACATAAGTGCTGGGAGCAGGAGCAGGCAATTCGACCCCTCAATCCTGCTCCACTGTGCCACTCATTGGTTACCAGTTTCCATTGGTAAACTGTAGAAACAGCCAAACTGATTCAGTAATGGCCTTTAAAAAAGCCATCTCTCAACACTCAATTTTCAATAATCAACCAATGCAATGATAATTTATCTCCATCTGCAGTTAACTTCCTCTTTCAAAGTGGAGGTGAGGATTCACATTTTCTATGATTCTTCAAGACCAGGGAGTAACCATGAGGGACGTAATGGCCTAGTAGTAAAGTCACTGGACTAGTAATTCAGAGGTTTTGGGTAACAGTGTGGAGGCACTGGTTCAAATCACAGTAACTGATGGAATTTGAATTCAGTTAATAAATCTGGAATTTAAAGTTCATCTCAGAAATGGTGAATGTGAGAACAATCAACAATTGTTATGAAAACTCATCTGGTTTACTATTATCCTTCAAGAAAGGAAATCTATCCCCTTTGCTCAGTTTGGCCTATTGTGTGACTCCTGGCTCACAACAATCTTGTTGACTGTTAAGCACCCTCTGAAATGGCCTTTAAGCCAAACAGTCAAGGGTGCTTGGAAATATAAAACAAATGCTGTTCTTGCCAATGACACCCACATCTCTGAAAACTAAAGGACCAAGTAAATTGAGGCCAATTTTGAACACATCATAATGGCCAGCAACATTTCGCTGAGGGCAAGCACAGGGCAGCACTGTTAGTCATTTGGTGTTTTTCAAAGATACAAAGCTGCCACAATTGACACAAGACACAAAATAATTACAGATAAACAAGGCAATTCTGCCCACCTTTAAATCACCTCTAAAGTGTTATTGTGTCTTTCCAGTGAGATTGCCCTCTATTATTTTTCCTCCAGCAGCTCTATCCCACATAATACTCACTTGCAGTGCAAAGCAAATTTACCAAACAGTCCAGATGTACTTTCTTTTATTCATTTGAACATGTCATTTTGAACTACTTGAATGCAATGTGCCAGCTTTGCAACTTTTCCATTCCATGACTATTGTGCTTAAGACTAAAATCATCTCCGATACTCCTTCTTGTGTGTGAAATACCACATAGTCTCCAGCTTTTCATCGTGAGTCAGTCCTTTGTTGCTGGAAATCAGCCTTGTCTCTCTTCTCCTTGGCACTTGAATGTCTCAAGAGTCTAGAACTAGACAGTATGACCATTCCACCCTGTGGATTGTATTCTTGCTGTCTGCTGAGATAGTTGAAGATTCTACAGGCTTCTTCATTGATTGGATAGGGTGAGTGTCAACATTGTTGAAACTCCCAGACTCTTTCATGTTCATCTTTCATCAACACCATTCCTGAAGGATACATTTGTTCATCCAAAATGGAGCAATTTACACTTTCCTGCATTAACTTTCATCTGCCACTGTTATGTTCAATTTGATGTTTTATATCAATTCCTTCTGTAATTTTACGAGCTACAACTTCTCCAAGTCTGGGATCATCTGCAGATTTAGTCGTGTTACATTCAAGTTTCTAAGACCAAATCATTTATGTAGAATTGGAACGCAAGAACATGGCGGGAGGACACAGACTTCTACGAAAGCCACTGAGCTACTGAGATGGCTGGGTGCAGGTCCATTGTTGGAAAGGTGAGCCGCATTTATTTGTGTCAGTATGTCAATCTGGAGATTTGTCAGAAAGTGTGTCATGGGATGAGTGGAAGAAGCCAGCGGTATGATAATGAGAAACCAGTGAGTGCAGCAGAGAGGGGATGGGTTAGCTCGTCAGACACCAGAAAGGGTTAAGGGTGCAAAAGGCTACAGAAGAGACGGTGATGACAGTCACAAGTAAGATTGTGAGTGTGAATTTCACAAAAATCTTCCTGCCTGATTACCTGCGTGATAGGAGCAGTTTTGTTCTTTCCTTAACATTTTCATGACCAACTCTCTATGGAATGAAAATCTGTATCTGTCTTATGTCCATAGTTCAAATTATAACTCAAAGCTAGTGTCTTTTTTGAATGATCTCAGTTCCGATGCACTGTAGAGAGTAAGCTAACACTGCAGAGCTGCCATTCACCTTGTGCCCAGATTCTGCAACAATAGAGTCAAGCACGCCTTGCACTATAGCAAGAACACATGTGGTGCAGTTAAAGTTTGAAATCATGTACGTTAAGTCAGAACATTCTGACCCTGCAGCTATCATAATTGCAGGAGTTCAATACCGAAGGGGCTGCTACCCTACAAGGAGTTGTAAATAAATAATTCGCACACACATTGTTCTTACCCTCTTGTTTAAATTGTATTTTCCTTCCCTTCTGTCCCTCTCCTGAGAGAGTTGCTTCTTCATGGTGGAGTATGGCCCCTTGTGAATGAATGGTGTCAAGCTGTTTGACTGCAAGTGTCAGCTTAGTGGATGTTTAATCTATCTTGAGCCAACATTCATTGATATACACATATCCAACAGGACATGGGAGGTAGATAGCCATGGGAAAAGTAGTGCTGCCTTTTAAAACCCCTTTCCTGCTCTACCATGGGATGCAGTAGCGATTTTTAGTATGTACACTACTTTCCCAGAATAGAACAGAGAAAGAGGGACGTACTGACATTATGGTAATACCATTGGACTTGTCATCCACGAACCCTAGGTTGCTGTTCTGTCATGGATTCAATTCTTACCATCACGGATGGTGAAGTTTGTATTCAATAATTAAAAATAGAATCTGAAATAAACAGCTAGTCTAATGACAATATGTAACTGCTGTTGATTTTCATAAAAGCCCATCTAGTTTGCTAATATCCTTTAGTGAAGGAAATCTGCTGTCCTTACCTGGTCTGGTCTAAATATGACTCCAGACCCACAGCAATGAGGCTGATTCTGAACTGCCCCTTTGGGCAATAAATGCCTCACTTTGCATATCCAGTTCATTCTATTGAACAAGTCCAAATCTTTTGTGTATGATTCTCCCTAAAGATCTTCACATCTTTCCTCATTTATCACTGTCACCTTTCTCCCTTGTGTGTTTACCTAACCTCTCTTTAGGTGCATTTTTTTTTATTGGATACACATCTGTAAGTCTGTAAATGATGACAGTGGGATGACCCAGGCATGCCAGAAGGCTAGATGCAGCCTAGAATTGGATTTGGCTATCCCACTCCATGTTCTTCTTTCATCTTGATACCCAAGAGTCCAATGGAGCAACACAATTCAATAGTCAATATTGGAAACTGTGACTCCTAGCCCCTCCCTCGTCCCAACTAACTGACATTGCACCATACACTCACACAGCTGTGTTGCTCCAGCTCTGGCTAAGACTGCAACTCTAACTTTTTAAAAAAAATCTCAAGTTCACACATGGCTAATAGCCGGAGCATGTTTGTGATCTCAGCGTTATCTAAATTGGTTGGGTGCCAAGGTCTAAAAAACCTGGAGCTGGAGCTCCTTATTCTGAGTAAGAAGGAACAAAGGTGTGTATCTATCATATCTTTGTGATGTCCCTATTACTCTGCAACCAACAAACTACTTTTGGAGAGCAGCCACTATTGTGCAGGCAACAGTCAATTTACAGAAAACAAGGTCACATTAACAGCAAATTAGATGAATGACAAGTTAAAGAAAAAGAAGAAAACACAACATTCAACTAAAAATCAGAAACAGACGTATTGGAAGCACAAAATCAGTCCGCACTTGTGGTGAATTGTTAGCTGTAAGTTCATTGACAGAAATGTCAGCTGTAAATTGAAGTGACTAATGTACAATTTGAAGGAGATTAGGAAAAATGAAATGGAGTCTTATGCTGGTAACAATTACTGAGGAATGATGAGAGGGGACATCAGAGCATCATTGCCAACATGGACTGAATGGCCTGATTCTGTGCTGTAAATTCTGTCTAACTTTATCTAGTAAAAGAGTTACACCTAAAATATTAATTTACCTGACTCACAACAGATGGTAAATGTTTCCAAAATTGTCCCTGTTTGTGAATGAGAATTTTTGTAATCTGAGGAATTGATTGACTATC